CACCAGAAAGAAAATAAAGCATACTAACCTTCTACCCTAAAAATCCACATAGGTAAGATGGGTTTATATTCCTAGAATTATAAAGTTTTTTGCACATTTGTATCTTTCCAAATACTTCCTTGGGATCCCTAAATTGCTTTAAATTTATGATTAAGCCTTCTCACCCATGGCATTCCCTAAGCCATGTCTTCTAATTCTTGTGTACACTACAAACTCAAGAAATTCTTGGTAAATGGTGATGTCTACTTCCAGAATCCCTTAGTGCCTTCAGTGCCCCACCCCAAGGCAGTGTAAGCACAAATCCAAAAAGCCTTTTCAGGTACTGGACCCAACATATCAGCATGCATGCTCTTTATTTTTCCTTGGCACTTAAAGGGACTCAACCAGGAATTGACAAAACTTGTTTAGCATTTCTGATGTAGCCAAGGGCCAGAAGCAGTGTCTTTAAAAGAAAATTGCTTGACATACTTAAAAGAAAATCTGAAATATAATCTTTTCTATTGATCCAAGTTATCTGAAAGAAAAAAAAATCATACTAAACTGTTTGGTTTTTCAAGTTTATTATGCCTTGTACCATCTAACACATGAGTATCCTATGAATGAAAACTGATTCAGAGGAAAGCCAGAGTACAAAAATGTTTCTTACATTTACTCTACCACCTGCTAGGAGAGACACACACATTTCAGCTTTAATTTTTAAAAGGAATGTTATCAAAATTCTTAAAGAAAATATTTAAAGCATCTGCTCTTATATGGAAATTCAAGGGAAAATAAACATAATTTTAGCAGGAGAACCCTACAAAATAAAAATATACTTTGAAAGGCATGCATCATTTTTTAAAAAATGCATGAAATAAACTTCATTTATGTCAAGGTTTTGATAGCTTGGATCTGAAAAAAAAGCTAAACAATCATATTATCATCACTATAATGAACAAAAATTAAATTTAAGCACTTTGCTATAGAAGAGTTCTTTCTCCTTTTGCAAAGGTCTTTGAAGAAACTTAAGATGCCATGTTGTTTTATGGTCTTAAAAGATGGGATATTACAATTGCAGAACACAAATTGTAATTAAAACTAAATGTATTAGCAGCATACATGAAAAATATTTTGAAAATAATAGCTATCTTTAAGAGATGAATTATATTTAAACACATGATCTTGGGGGGGTGAAATTATTACTTTTCCTTGAACAACAACAAAAAAATGCTTTATAGTCTTCAAAAATTTCTTCTTCCAGTTGTAGGATGAAGGATTTTCCCTTACCTACAAGCAATTCAGATGATTAAGAGATTATTTCCAAATACTTCTGCTTATTAACCCCTCCTCTCCAGCTCTGAACTAGAAGACATGTAAAATATACATTTTTAATTAACAGACATTTGCAAGTGAAGATGGATTTTGTTAGTTAAGATCAATTGTTCACTGAAAATAAACAGGAAATAGTGCTACTTAGCAAGTTGCATGTTCCAAACCAAAGAGTAATGGACCTAAGAAAATCCAAGGTACTTTTTCTTCTTGCATACAGGTCTTAATAATACTGCTGTGCCTGATGCTTACAAAAAGCATAAATCTCCACTAGCTGAAAAGCCATGCAGCTTGGGTGGGGGAGGGGTTTTCCTCTGAGCCTTCATGGAACCAATGTTGGGCATGGCACAAAATGGAGACTTCAGCACCATGTTAACCTTTCTGCTTTTGAGAAAAAAAATATATACACCTTTTGCATTTCCTAATTGGTAAAGGCTTTCTCCTGCACAATCTACTGGTAATTTAAAAGGCTTATTTGCTCAACCTGTGGGAAACAATTCTAGCCACTGCTGGAGTTAAGCATGGGCAAGTCAAGGAGAAAGCAGCTTTAGGAGCATCAAGTCAAAAAAAAAAAAAAATCTGAAAGCCAGTTTCTTCTGTGAAAAATTCTGTCCATGCTGCCCCTCCCCCCCTTTAAAATTTCAAGACAAAGGGCATTTATTTAAATGGGGTAAACACAGAAAATTCCTAGAAAGGCTACATAGAGTTGACACATATTCAACTGATGCCATCACTTCAGGGTCTGGGACTGCCAAATCTGGCCAAGAGGAATTCTAGCATTTCTCAGTAAGATGGCATTTGACAGGCTCCTCTCTGAGAACTTACTTGTTTCAAAGCTAAGGCAGATTGTGTAGTCTCTACACAGTGTAAGGCCCTCCCAGTCATAGGCATTGGGCACAATAATGACAAAAGTCAAGATTTAGGGTTCAGTTCCAGCTGATTTTATTTCCTTCTCAAAAAAAGTTATTTACAGAAGGTATATATCAACAATCTGACAGGCAGTGAACTTGACATGATTAGCTGGCATGATTTTTTCTTTTTCTTTTTCCCCCAAATATTGTTTTTGTGGCCTTGAATTTTAAGACAAATATTCTACACGGCATATTGCACAGGATGGATGGCAAAAAAAAGTTTAAAAACAAAAACCCTTAACGGAACTGCCTTAAAAAGGCAGACGTCCTAGTGCCTGTCATGTTATATTAAACATACATACACACAATCTTTTTGCTTATTATAATACAGACTTAAATGTACAAAGATGTTTTCCACTTTTTTCAATCTTTAAACACAACAGCTATAAACCTGAACACATATGCTATCATCATGCCATAAGACTAAAACAATTATATTTAGCGACAAGTAGAAAGGATTAAATAGTCAAATACAAGAATGAAAAACGCAGTACATAGTGTCGCGAACTCAAATCGGCATTTAGATAGATCCAGTGGTTTAAACGGCACGTTTTTGCTTATAAAAAAAGTGCAAAAAAGATGTGGTTTACAAGTTAAAGCTACAGGATCCCTTTTTGCTGTAAATGCACCAGTTTTAAAGCCTCTGGACAGAATATTATTTCGTTTAAAAATCTGTTTTTCTTAAAAGCATACAGTGTTTGGCTATTTCTCCTCCCCCTTTTACAAGACTTGGAGTTGGAGGGTGGACACTGGTGGCGGGTTAAGGGATACTGTCACTTTAAGAAGCCTGCAGATTGAAGTGTAAACATGGAGAAATTAGGGGCTGATTTTTTAAAACTGTGTGAGATATTAACCAGCCGCCCTATTATAAAATCAGGAAATCCAAACAGCGATTTACACCGATTAACACCCCCTTTATATATTTTTTACAAAAATACACTGAGAAAATAATCAAACGTTTTCATCTCTCTTGTCTTTTTTTGTTTTTTAAAAGTGTCAAAAGTCTACATTTAAATATAAAAAATTAAAAGTTAAAACTCTAGCCCTTCAGTGAAGGAGACGTAAAATGGCGTGGGTAACAACTACTACCGAAAAAAAAAAAACAAACAAAAAAAAACAACAGAACGAAAAGAAAGAAAGAAGAAAAAAGGAAGGAAGGAAGAAATAAAGAAAGTAAAAACAAAGAAAAGAAAGCAAAAGGAAAGGAAAAAAAAGGGACAAAATAAGAAAAAATAATGTTTGGCCAGTATAAATACGTCCACATATAAAATGGCATCTGATTACATTTACAAGGAAAAAAAAAATACGAGGATGGAGCATCGGTGAGGGAAAAAAACACGTCTTCTCATTTACACCTAGAAGGAATAAACACATACACACTGAGAAAAAATTTGGTCCTGAATTGTTTTTTTCTTAAAGTCCAGCACAGATTTGAGTTGCGTTTGAATCCTTTTTTAAAGAGTTAAGAATGAAAAAAAGCTGGTGATAATTCTGTTGTAGGAATCAAACATAGCGCCATCTATCTGCTTTTTATATTATCCTACACTATTTAAAAAACTGCTCAACAGTCTTATACAGAAATCTTTAAAAGATAGACAGGATAACATGCTATATTAACCCCACCAGTGAAATAATCCAACACCATCACGATTCCGATTAAGAGAAGAAAAAAACCTTTTTTTTTTTTTCCACCCCCCGGACGCCACTCGCCCTCCACTGCCCCTTGTACCAAACAGTTCTCCTCTCCTCCGGGCTTGGGAAGTCTCACCTCGCCGACTCCAGGGAGCAAGGAGGCGGGGAGGCCCGAGGCCGCCGCCGCCCGCTCCCGAACGTGCAAATCCGTCTCGGTCCGGTCGCGAGCCCCGTCCGGTCCGTGTCCTTCCCGCCCCGCCCGCGCCCGCGCCCCGGCCGCCGCGGCCTCCAACTGGGCTCTCGGGTCGTGTCCTAGCGCCGGCCACTCTGCACTCTGGCTGGCCTCCTCCCCTCCACCTCTCCTCCTCCGGCTGCAGGGGCAAGGAAAAAAAAAAAAAAAAAAGAAAGAAAGAAAGAAAAAAAAAAAAAGCAAAACCCCAAACGAGAATTCGCCAGCGTGGAGTCTCTCAGTCCTCGGCGCTCCCTCAAAACATCTGCCATCCGCCAAATTCATCACCCCGGAGCCTTCTGTCTTCATCAGGCATTTAAAAAAAAAAAAAAGAAGAAGAAGAAAAAGAAAAAACAAGGGAGGGGGCGCACTGGATTCCACACACAACACACGCACCCCCTACCTTCTCTTGACCAAAAAAAAAAAAAAAAAAAAAAAAAAAAAAAAAAAAAAAAAGCCACAAGTTGTTCTGCAATTCATTCTGTGATTTAAATTTTTAAACGATATTCCATAAAAAAAAAAAAAAAAAAAAACCAAAATAAAACAAAAAGACCACGGTGGCGATGCGACGACGGGGGAGAGATTCCTCCAGTCTGGAGCAAGCCAGCTCGGCTCCTCGCTGTGGGCGCAGACAAGTCCGGAAGCTCCTTGGAAGGGGAGGGGGGTCTCTTCAAGCAAAGGGGAGGAAACTCGAAGTAGCTTTTTTGCCATCAACAACAACATCAATAACAACAACGAAAGGTCGCCCCTGTCTACCCTCCGCCTCCTCCGCGTCCCTCCGGCGGGGCCGAGTGGGGCCCGGCCCGGGAGTGGGGGATGGGAGCGCGGTCCCGAACGCCGCCGCGCTCCTCAGACGACGAGGACGCGGCCCAAGCCAGCCCTGCTCACTTTTTTTTTCCTTTTCTTTTTTTTTTTTTTTCTTTTTCCCTTTTCTCTTTCAACTCTTCGTCTCTCCTCCTCTTCTTCTTCTTCTTTTTTCTTCTCCTCTCGTGCCCCCCACCCCGGCCCTTCTTCTCCCTGCCCGCGCGCCCTTCAGTAGGTGAAGACCAGGTTGGAGATGCTGGACTCGAGCCAGTCTCCCGAGATCATCTCGCTCACCTCGGGCGTGCAGTAGTCCGGGAACTCGAAGTGCGAGCCGGAGCCGGGCTCGAAGTTAAAATCCAGGTCCCGGTCCAGCGCCGACGAGGAGCTGAAACTGCCCAGGGACATGCTCTCAAAGTTTGAGCTGGGGTTCAGGTCGAGCAGGTCGTCTTCGAACTCGTCGTCGGAGGACGAGGAGCCCGAGGAGGAGGAGGAGGAGGAGGAGTGGGACGAGGCCGAGGAGGACGCGTGCGAGGGCGCGCTGGACGGGGCGGGCGAGGCGGCGCGCAGGCTGGCGTAGCCGCGGTGGTCAGCGGGCGAGCGGCCGGCGGCCGGCGACGAGGCGGCGCTGCTGCGGCCGCTCAGGCTCGGCCCGTCGGGCGAGCAGCCCGCGCCCCCCTCCTCGTACAGGCCCAGGGGGTCGCTGGGGTCGGCGCCCGCGCCCACGCCGCCCACGGGCGACGCCGACGCGCCCAGGCCGCCGAACAGGTAGACGCGCTTCACCTTCTTCTCGGCCAGGTGCTTGCCCGGCGCGGCGAGGGCGGCGGAGGCCGAGGCCGCCGTGGAGGCCGCGGCCGCGGCGCTGGGAGTCCGCGCCTTGTACAGCGAGTGGTGGTCGGCGGCCGCGGCGGCGCCCAGGGGCAGCAGGGCGGCGGCCCCCGCCTGCTCGGCGGCGAAGGAGGACGCGGCGGCGGCGGCGCGGCTTTCCCGCCGCCGCCGCCGCCGCCCGCCAGGACGAGCTTGGCGTGGGGCTTGCTGACCCCGCCGCCCGCGCCGCCCGCCGCCTTGGAGCCGCAGCTCTTCTTCTGCGCCGGTTTGGAGTTGGCGCCGCCGCCGCTCGCGCCGCCGCCTCCTCCCCCCGCGTTGCCGCTCCCGCCGCCGCCGCCGCCCCCGTGGCCGCCCCCGCCGCTGCCACCGACCTTGTCTCCCTTCTCCCCCGGCTTGGAGGAGGCGGCGGCCGAGGAGCTGGCGTTGGCGTTGCCGGACTTCACCTTCTTCCTGGGCCGGTACTTGTAGTCGGGGTAGTCAGCCATGTGCTTGAGGCGCAGCCGCTCCGCCTCCCGAATGAAAGGGATCTTGTCGCTGTCTTTGAGCAGCTTCCAGCGTTTGCCCAGCCGCTTGGAGATCTCGGCGTTGTGCATGTCGGGCGACTGCTCCATGATCTTGCGCCGCTCGATCTGCGACCACACCATGAAGGCGTTCATGGGCCGCTTGATGTGCCCGCTCGGCGTCTTGCACCAGCTCGGGTCGTCGGCCTTGCCGCCCGTGGAGGCGGTGGACCCGGGCGTGGGGGAGGAGGCGATGCCCAGCTCGAGGCCGGCGCCCGAGTCCGAGCTCTCGCCGGCCAGCAGCGCTTCCGTGTTCTCCGCGTTGTTGGTTTGCTGCACCATGGCCCCGGCTCGGCGGGCGCCCACGCGCGCTCACACCCTCGCGGCGGCCGCGGCGCGATCGCCGGGCCCTCCCGGCTCCCCGGGCCAAACACACGCCGAGCGAGCGGACGCGCGCGGCGGCCGGATCGGCCGCTCAACTCCTCGCAGGGGCGGAGGTGGGCGAAGAGAGAAAAGTCCCCAGAAGACGCGGGGAAGCAGTCCTCTGCCTCGCGCAGAGGAGTTATAGTTCCCAGGCTGGAGAGTCTTTCTCTCCCTCTCTCTCGCTCTCTCACCGCGCTGCAGTTTGCTCTGTGTCTCGGCTCTGAGTCTGGAGACCGTGCTAAAGTGGAGAGGAGTTTCTTGAATGCTGGTTGCTGACGCCTCCAATGCAAGTTTTCTCGCGGCCTCCCAGGCAAGTCTTTTTTTTCCCCCCTGAAGCAGTTGTTTCCAGTTCACGAGCGCGCTCGGTAGCTCAGGAAAGCGACATAGTCTCTATCACTTAGTCCCTTTCCTACAATGCAAAGCAAAAAAGACTCTGGCTCCAGGACTCTCTGTGGGCGGAATCGGCACTAAGGAGTTTGTGCAATTATTTTGTTGCAAGGTAGGAAGCCAAAAAGCCTGCATGCAACAGACTGGCATGAATAAATGTATGTTTCCCTCTCCCTTCTGCAAGAAGGGAGCTGGTAATGGCAGAGTTCCTCCAGTGCAGACTCTTAAAGAGCGTGCAAGAAATAGAGACCCGGGAGCGAAACAGGCCTCTTCCCCTCACACTCAGTTTCTCTTGCTGCAGCTTAGAGCAGACCCCAATTCCGCCTCGTGCCTCTTTATCCTTTCACAGTCTTGGCCGCAGCCAATCAGCCGCTGTAACCAACGCTTCCTCATGCCAAGCCCCTCCCCTGGGCTTCCCATTGGCTTGGAACCCGATGCAATAATAATCTCCGCGTGCAATGAGAAGCTCCAAATCTGACCTCATTCCAATTTACAGAGCAAACTTTTTAAAAGGGCTAGAAGTACAGCTGAGATTTCTGGTGCCTTTTTCCTTTTGCTGTGTGTGTGTGTGTGTGTGTGTGTGTGTGTGTGTGTGTGCGCGCGCGCGCGCGTGCGGGTGTGTGTGCGCGCGCGTGTGTGGTGTGAAGAGGATGTTAATGCATGAAATTATTAAGGGGAGAGACGGAAATGTATTCTAACCATTATGTTAGATAACAAGGGGCTTGGAAGGGGGGGGGTTAGGGTGAAATACTGTAAATGGAAGCTTTCTGCTTAAAAGCCAAGTGATTATTTTTATTAGTTCTTTTCAGCATTGGAATAAAGAATCAGCCTCTATTGCAAAATGTGTTCCTCTGTTTCTTCTTAAACTCAAAGATGTAAAGGGGGAGGGAAAGCCACAACAATAAATCAATGGATATTGAAAACCATTAAGAAAGTGGTACCTAGACACCTGTCATCACAATTATTTTAACAACTCTAGGTACAGCACAGATGTTGATGTATTGTGTATATCCTTTCAGAACAGTTTCTGTGTTGTTTGTGTAAGGCAGAGAAGAGGACTTTTTGCAATAATTGCTTACTCTCTTAACCAAACAGGGGTTAACTATGGTTATTTAGTGATTTAAACTCCCCTGTGAATCCTGGATAGCCCAAAAAGAGGAGCTTTCCCTTGAAACACATTAGGCAGTACTGCATAATTACCTCAACAGACAGATTTCCATAGAGTTTTATTCAGGATGATAATGGCAAATAAAGGATGGAAATCGATTTTACTTTCTAAATATTTGTTTTCCATGTTTTCAAAATTAAAAATTGTTTCACTCTCTATTCCTCTCCTCCTAAAGCCCTTTTCCTCCTTTCCTTCTTGTATTATTATTTCCTCCTATATATTTGTTACTCGAATCAAATGGAACTAAAAGGCCAAGACAAAGAGAAACTGCAGGGGGGTAATAACTGGTAGCAGAAGAAAATGGAGCCTCTGAATTCATATTAGACCTGGCTGCTAATCCTTCCTACTGGATTTGTGACTGTAGGTATATGGCCAAGTCTCAGTTTTCCTCATCTGCGATATGGGCATACTAGGAGCTACTTTTATACAGGATTGTTGTGATGATTCAAATAGTTTGTAACTGTTAGCATAAGGCACCTGAAGTATAATATTGTAAGCCCTGAATGAATGCTAATAACTTTTTTTTGTAACTCAAATGCTAGAGACACTCCTAGTAAAAGCTTCATGTTCAAGAGACTAAACTTGAGGATGGCCACTGATGTGAAAAGTAATCATAGATTGTAGATGTGAACCATACCAGGACAAGAGTGGCAACCCTGTCATTCTAAAGATTTTAAAAGAAGGCAACTTCATGAACACTACTATGAAGAATGTGGCAAAGAAAGGGTGTCTAGAATACATATTAATTTGGCTGCAAAATTATTTTTCTTTTTCAAGGTCTGAAAATTAGGATTTTGGTAGAAATTGGCTTTCCTTAACACTATAGGAGTAAACAAATTTTCTTCAAGCCAACCATACGCAGTTAGGTAGATCCAATCCAACATAATTAAGTCAGCTTTCAATTCAGATCAAGCTAGTTGCTGGGTAGTAGATTTCTATTTATCTTGTCAAACTTTTAAAGTATGTAGGCTGGCAAGAGGCCCAGATTGTCAGATTTAGAATTTTACTGGAAAGAACACCCTATGGAGACATCTGACTGGATCTCTGAGGATCAACCACAAGCATGAATGTTTTTGTGAGTAAAAGCAAATAATTTTTTACCATTAGCTCTTCAAGTTATATATCATTTTTGTAAATTTTGTAAAGAAGGCGAAACTAATCCTAAAAAAAATCTGAAAAACACAAACACACAGGCACCTTTTTTGCATAACAATGGTGTGTTATACATTTCATTTTCTCTGATATGCATAAAAACCCTAAATATTATCAATCTGAGATAAAAATTATTCTAAGAAGTCCCCATTACCTGCAAAGTAAATGTTTTCACTAGGATAAAAAAGAGAATAAATATATTTGTTTGGGGATTTATATCAACTAATGATTTGATGGTGTAACTTGTTTGATAATTCAGTCAAGATGAGTTATCAATATTATTCATTATATTTGTAAAGTCATTTATGCTTCCGCCATTAAAAAGGATGGGTGAAATGTGGAAGTTAATCAAAGCAGTCATAATAATTATGTTTCCCCTGAAAGCACACATATTTTTTAGAGGGTGTACTAAAAAAATAGCCACTAGCCTCATTCTTTTGTTACATGTACTTTCCGTATTTCAACAAATCCAACAAATTGTAAGACACACCATTATATTATACGTTACCCAAGAAGAAAAACTTCCAGTGAAACTCTGATATCCCCCCTAGTTGTAAGATGTCTCCCTATTTCAGGGGTGTTGAGATGAAAAGCAAAAGTTCCTCTTAGAATTGACAAAATATAGTATAAATAACTTCTACTAACTTTATAAGATGATTATGGTATATATACATATATATGCTTAGGCTACCAAACTAGATCTGTTCTTCTATGTTAGTACTTGTCTTAGAATGTAAGAAAACATAACAAATGGCCTTATATTAAAGTCATCTTTCTCACCAAGTTTGTGCACACTGGGATGTATTTGGCCTCTAATACCAAATAATGAGAAAAGATTTCTGTGTTGTTGTTACCTAACTTCATATGCTTTGTAACTAATTCTCTATTACTGACATTTTTTCCCCAAATACCAGATATTTGGTGGCCCCTACTAAATCAGTACTCAGTGTTCCCTCTGCTGGCTTTGCAGTACATGAAGTAATTCTTAATGCTACTCTTTTAGCTGTATTAACAGAAATTCAAGATATTTTTACAAAAAAAATAGTGCTTTAGGATAATAAACTAATTGTCCTTATTAGCAATGATGTTAGATATTTCGACTTTTCAATTAAGGTAAATATTTTATCTTATTTTATTCCATTAAAAACAGAATTCCATTTGAGATGTAAGTGTAATATCTGCTAATGCATTTCTTATCTTCTGTTCTCACACACCTGCACAACATAAAATCTCACATCCATAAAATGGTATGGGTTGTAGATAGAAATAAGATTCTATCCCACTGCTTAGTATGTTCCTATAGCACGGGAGGGGGGCTGAATGGAAATTAATTTAACAAATCTCTTGGATTTGCAAGATTGTGCCTTGCCTTGGTTATAGATGTAGGAGCTTGTCTGACCTGACAAATATCAATTCAAATAAAATAAAGGGGGGTGGGGAAGGACCGCTTTCATTGTTGCTTTAGTTGACAGGGAAAAAGCCCTGGGAAATCTGATGTCATTGGCCTTTTTCAACTGCAAGGCCCCAGGCTTTTTGGTTCCACACTTTGTGGAAAAGAATCCTCCATCCTAGCCTGTTTTACTTCTCAATCAAGTAGACGAACATAACTTGCACTTCATCTTTTTGGGCTGATGAAATTGGAATTGGACCCGGGGCGGGGTGTGTGTGTGTGTGGGGGGGGGGTGTGGGAGGGAAGTACTGAAAAATAATATATGGAAGTAATTCTTATTTGAAAAATATCAAAACAGGATTCTGAGGTAAATGACATCTATGATTTATTTTTACTCTTAGAATAAGCTAAGAAATAAGAAACCTGCATTTCTAATAATTTTTTTTTTTACCATTTTTTCCCTCATAACCAGTGACCAGCACATAGTAGGCTCAAGTAAGCTCTTCATACCAATGCCAACACATTAATCCTTTCCTCTCGATTTTCCCATGAGAACAAACAGAAAATGAATGTTTGCATGGCCCGCGTAGACTGGAAACACCAATACCGGCTTCTGCTCCGTTTCTGGACGCGGAGGCATGGCACCCCCGGAGAGCCTGGCTTCGCGCTGCAGCCAGCCGGCTCCCAACGTGGGGACAAGCAGCCGCCAGGTGGCAGCGGCGAGCCTCCCTCGTCCGCACGGCGACGTGGGAAAACGTGGGGACGGTCGGCTTTCTTTCTTCTCCCCCTTCCTCCTCTCCCGAACCTCTATGCCCCCGCACCCCTTTACCTTCTTTAGGTAGCAGCTTAAACGACCAGCGGTAATGGGGTGTGCCGGTGAATTCTGATTTTCCCCCCCACAAATCTTAAGTTTAGGGAACCCACCGCCGCCTCCTGTTCACTTGTCAGAAGTTCCCAGGGACTGGGAAAGCCAAGACCGGGCTCCCGTGTGGGTCTAGCCACCGAACCCGGGGGACTATCCATGTGCCCGCGCCCGTCTCTTCCTGCCCGGGCGGGACCGGTTCGGGTGCAGGTTCGCCGCCGGCTGCTCCCCGGCTTCGCAGAGCGGCTGCAGGGGCGGCGCGCTTCACCTGGGGACTAGCAAAGGCCACCCCTCCGCCTGGTGGGGGGGAACCCCCAAAACGAATGGTCTCCCCCGCCAGAACGCCGCTCCGTGCGCGCTCCCCGGCCCAGACCCGCCGAGGGACGCGGGGCGCAGCCTGGTGGCTGGTGGCGCCGCGGGGCCGAGCCCCGCCCGGCGAGTGCGGTTGCAGGGGGGAAATAAATTGGAATCGACGCAGCCTGTGCGTTTTGGAGGCAAGTCTTTCCTACTGCAAACATGTTTCGGACGATCCTGTCAGCAGCATTTTAACACCCGTCTTCCGTTTAGATTTTACGACCGGGGAAGGAGCTCAGACACACACACAGACACACACACGCACACACACACACGCACACACACACACGCACGCACACACATGCACACGCAACCCAAGTGAAGACGCCCCCGCGCCCTCGCGGGCTCCCCGCCCTCCTTTGAAGTTGCCGCTGGCCGCCGCAAGCCGGGAAGTCGCTCCCCAGCCCTCGGCTCCTCCATCCCTCCCCCACCCCCAGAGCCGGCCTGGCCCGCGGCGACCGTGCCCAGTTCCGTCGCTGACCGGAACTGCCAGCCGCCGGGGCCCCTGCCCTCTCGGGTGCCCAGCACCCCTCTCTCCGGACGCCCAAATGCTCTCTGTAGCCCCGCCGGGACCGCGCGGGCGCCCAGTGCGCCGGGGACCCTCGCCCCGGCGGGCACCCGGCCCCCGTCCGCCGGCTGGGCGCCCCCGCCCCGCCCCGTCCCCGTCCCCGCCCCGCAGGCCGAGGCCCCACGGGGCGCGCAGCCGCCGCGTCCCCCCCGGGAGGCAGAGCAGGGCGTGTGCGCGGCGGCGGGGGCCGGAAAGAGACTGAGAGCGAAGCGAGGTCCACAATTGGTTGCACCCGAATCATCAAGCGTCCCTTCCTCGGGGACCTCGGAGGGACGAGCGTGCATGGTCGCTCTCCCGGCCCCCTCGCGGACCCGGGGAAGGCTGGGGTGGGGGGTCGCTGAGTCCACGAGGGCGCGGAGGCGCCGGGGGGGGGTGCCAGGCGCCCTTGCCAAGGGGTGCGCCCGACGCCGCCGCGGGCGATTCCACCCCCAGCACCTGTAGGAGGCGGTTTCAGGTCAGAGAAAGGAGCATATGGCAGGTAGATAACTGGGAGAGGCTGCGCCCTGGGCGCAGTTACTTGGAAGCCAAGCTCTGCGGAAGGGCTCGGCTCGCTTTGTCCCCCTTGGATTCACTGGTGTCACTGCCACCTCGCCCCGGGCGCCCCGAAACCACCCCAGTGGCCCGGGCGCGCGGCGTGGCTGGGGCGCGCCCCGCATGCTCCCCGCGCCCAGCCCAGCAGCCAAGCAGAAGCAATTACAAGTGGAGCCCCGCGGGGAAAGCTGATTTCGCTCATGGAAAAACGCTCGAACGGGAGCCACGCGGAGCCGGCGGTGGCGAGCCCGCTGGCCTGCGTGGGGAGGTGGTGCGAGGGCGGGTTGCGGCGGCGCGTCTGCCAGGCAGGGAAACCCGCCGGGGAGTGGGCAGAGGGAAGCGAAGCAAAATGTCAGATAAGAGAAAGAGGGGAGGGCAGGAAGAAAGGCTCTTGAGTGCAGAGAGGGGAAGCAGGAAAGCACGGAGACTGCACTGGCTGCCAAGCGACACGGGTCAGAGAACAGAGGCGGGCGCGTGGCGGGCAGCGGGCGTAGGACGCGCGGGCTCCGCCGGGCAACCTATCTCCTGTCCCCTCCCCTGCTCCCGCAGAAGCGCGACGTCTCACGTGTTGCAAACTGCGGTAGGGGCGCTCGTAGCGATGGGGGTGGGGTGAAGTGGGGGGAGGCAGGGACCAGAGAACCCAATGTTCCAGAGCGCGCCGGGAGCGCTGCACACCTGGCTCCCCAGACTCGCCATCTGCTCCCAGCTACGCCTCTCCGGGCCTGGGTGTGGCCCTGGAGAAAGATAAGAGTGCTGCGTGGGCGTGGATGGCTTCGCGTCAACCGCCGCTGCGAACTCAGTCCATCAACGTTTACGGTGTGCCTACTGTGTGCGGGGCACAGCCTCCGTCCCCTCCAGCTGCCGGGCTCAGGAACTGCACCATCTGTTCTGTTAGCCAGCAAGCTAGAAAAGAATTCTGTGTGTACATTGCTGTAAAGAAAGTTCAACATTCGAACAATAACGCATAAGCAAGTAATTCTTAAGCCAAGAGGGTGATTGAGATAGTTTGGAGGTCAGAAGCGTTGGGACTGGCACGGTTACACTTATAGAGGTGTTTGTGATTTTTCACTGCTTCCTGATGCATGGATCTCCCCATCCTTCCTGTTCCACACTCTTGCAATACACAGATCAAAATTAAAAATAACAAGTTAAAAAATAATTTAGTGACACTTTAGCTGGCTGTCAGGGTTCACAAATAACTGAAGGTATATCATTAAAACTCTCAAACTTAATTCCTTAAGTTAAAAAATACCAGACCCAAAACACTGTTTTATTGTAACAGATATATTGTAATGTAACTTTACAATTCTGAAATAAAATTCTACTACGCACACACATTTTTAACAATCAACATAGTGTTCACACTATAATAGAAAGGAGAAATGTAATTCAGGTATGTAATTCACAATAAAACAATATACAATGTTTCAGATGTGCATGGTAGGACTATATTTCACTAGAACACCCAAAATGTTGTTCAAAAATTTAAAAATTCTCCGTAGGGAGTATTACTGCTGAGATGTGAATTATGCACTATGGGTGCCAGGCAAGTTCTAAATAATCAGGATGCTGTTGATAGCCTGAATTCCTGAATTTACAGGATGTGATGGATTCCTGTAATAAATCAGCCTCCTGGTATTCTTGCCTTTATGTGGACCTCTTCCTCACTGACTCTGGATTTGGTCCCTGACTTGCTTAGGGAAATGAGGCATTAGCAAGCATGATACAAACAGGCTTGACAAATGCCAACTCTTAGGTTTTGTCCATTGAAACCAGCAGACCATCATGTTGTGAAGAAGCTAGTCTAACCTATTGGAGGATGAAAGACCCCATAGGGAAAACCAAGATGCCCTGTCAACGCCAGCACCCCCGGCATGTGACTGAGCCCATTTTGGATGCTCCAATTTCAGTCGGGTTGTCAGATGGCTGCAGCCACACCAGTGATCCCAGATAAGTCCAGCAGAAGAACCACCGACATTGACAACCTCCAAAATTATGAGAACTAATAAATTGTTTTAAATCACTATGCTTTGGGTGGTTTGAGGACAGAGTAGTGTTAATTACAATACCATAGATGACAAAATACAAGTCCACACAAGAGGGTAACCTTACCTTAATGACTCCAGATCTTCATTGTGAATTCAGTCAATATCTTCTTCAATGCCCATAGTGGATATAGGAGTTAGCTTGAATTGAATAACGTCAGACGCCTTACCTATCCTACTTGCAAGTTGTGCTCCTTTGCCGTTTTACCAGATTTCCCTGAAATCCTTTTTCTGGGCGGGAGGCCTGCTGCTCACCAGCATGGTAGTTGTTTTTCTATGTCACTCCTTCTGATGTCTGTAGGCTTTCCAGATCACCTCTCTTGGCTCCACTTTTTTTCTTGTTCTTTTTTACTTCTTCCTGGTCTCATTTCTTTCCATTTTCTGTTACTGCTTGAACATTTATTTACTTATGATCAGTAAGCATATTAAGCTTAATATTAACTATATTAAGCCTTTAATAGTTTGCTTCTTTAGCTCATCTTGGCTTTTTTTGCTATTGCTTCTGCTTTAAATTTCTTTCAGTCCATCATTGGGAGTAGGATGCGTATCAACGCTCTGGAGAAGTGTGTTCATACAGGGCGAAACTGCAATGCCACAGGATAGGGTGTCAGTCAGGGTTCTCCAGAAACACAGAACCAATACGATACATATATATCAAGTAGGGCAGCGGTCCCCAACATTTTTGGCACAAGGGACCCATTTCATGGAAGACAATCTTTCGATAGATGTGGCTGGGTGATGGGGGGTTTGGTGGCCAGGCAGAGCAGCTGGTTCCTAACAGGCCTTGGACCTGTATGGGGGACCACAGAAGTAGGGGGTGGGCTCACATGTTTATGGGGGCTGACAAATCCCAAAATCTGCAGTCAGCAAGCTGGAGACTCGGGAGAGCCCAAGTCTACTTCCAATTCAGAGCAGGAAAAAACAAAAACAAAAACCAATGTCCCAGCTCAAAGGCAGTCAGGCAGGAGAAATTCTCTCTTACTCAGGGGGGAGGTCTGCCTTTTTGTTCAGTTTAGACCTTCAACTGATGAGGCCTGCCTACATCAGGGAGGACGATCTGCTTTACTTGATCTGTCAATTTAAATATTAAACTCATCCAAAAACACCCTCGCAGAAACGCCCAGAATTTTTGAACAAGTATGTGGGCACCTTGTGGCCCAGTTGCGTTGACACATAAAGTTAGCCAGCACGGATGATTACCACTGGTCCCACCGTAGAGAAATGATTTTACTCAAGGATGGCCTCTGTCTATAGGTTGAATAAGTATCCATCCAGAATAGGTATGTTTATGGGGGAAAAAGGGAGGATCTTCAACCATCCCTTCTGATATCTTACCCTTCCAGTCAATAAATAACAGCAAAGTTTCAATAATTAGAATTCATCCCTTTAGATTATAATGTATGTATTTTTTTCTAATTAAAATGCCTGTGATCCAAAAAGGTATTCTGTTGCGCTGCTATTAGACAATGATAGCTTACAGTGCAATTCTTTATATCGTGTTTCCCTGAAAATAAGACCTATCCGTAAAATAAGCCCTAGCAGGATTTCTAAGCATTTGTGAAATATAAGCCCTACCCCGAAAATAAGACCTAGTGATGGACATGGCTACACAGTGTATCTGCACAACACATGCATTTCATCACGGAGCGGTAAAGAAGACGAGCAGCCCTTCTCATCTGCCCCATCATGACAGCTACTATCCCAGAGGTGACCAGAAAGGTTCAGGCAGCCCCACCAATAAGGTCGGCTCCCCCTGTCAGGTCCCAGCCATCCTGTGCGTGCTGCAAGCTGAGGCTTTGAGGGAAAAATAACACACCCCCTGAAAATAAGCCCTAGGGTGTCTTCTTGAGGAAAAATAAACATAAGACCCTGTCTTATTTTCGGGGAAACACGGTAATAACTTTTTCAATAGGTTCTAGTAGGTTTTAACATGAGCGAGAGGGATAGGGGAGAGTGAAAGAGAGATCATTTTGAGAAGGCGTGGTTTGAGTGTATGCTCTCAGCACAAGGGTATGGTATGACAGATGAGAAAAGGAAGAGAAAAGTTAAAACTCACTGCCCCCTTTAAACATATAACTTTACTTCCTTGGGACCGGAAAGTCCCTGATGTTAATATGCTAGTGATATGATAGTATCACTAAAATTACGTCGAGTTTAAGGTATGCTATAGCTTTGTTCAGAATAGATATAGCTTTCCTTTTCATGTATATGCCTCAAGGGTAAAATGAAAGAGAAATAAAAAGATTCCGAAGGAAACTCTGAACCATGTAATTGAAGGATAGTCTTCACTAACCTTCTTTTAAAATTTATTTTATTATGATAACCATTGCCTGTTATATCTAGTAGCCCAAACCACAGTTTCTAGATTATTAGAATTTGGAGCTCTTTTAAAAAACAACAACAATCAGTGATAATACCATTTCTTTGTGTTAGTTTAGGTATCCCTTACTGTATTTTGCCTGGATAAAATGGACTGTGCTAAAATATACGCATGTCCTGAAAACTCAATGATTCAATGCATTAAAGCTATTTCTTACTGATGCACAGTCTACTACGGGCCCAGCAATTCTCCAGGGTGACTCCCTGTCCCAGCCATGGCTCAGAGAACCAGGGTGAGTGGCTCCGTATCTAAACATGTGACCTCCTTTGTTGCCATGAAAGAGAGAATGCAGAGAACCCTCACTTACTCTTAAATGCCTCTGCCTGGAAGTGACACATCTCACTTGTGCTCATAGCTCATTGGACTTAACTAGGCTTATGACCCTGCCTAAAGGTTTGGAAATATGGCTCCCCTCTATATCCCAAGAAAGAGGAAAAATGGATATAGGTGAATAGTAGACATTATTCCACAGAGACATTGATGTGTCTCTAAATTTGCTATAAAATTTATAGCAAATTTTTAGTGAATTTATTTTTAGTAAATACTGTTGTCTTTTTAGCCACGATATGAAATTCAAAGGTATGCTCGGCCAGGAATTTTTTTTTTTCCTGGACTCATATTTTAAAATATTGTTCTTTGTTTTATAAAATCACATTAAGATTCAAAACAAATCATTAGACATGAATGCTTTTGCTTTTGAGTATCATGTGGTAGTAACAGAAAGCTATCATAACTAGAAAAAAAGACAGATTATAAAAATCATGACTTTAAAGATATTGGAGATATATTGAAGCATAGGAGACTAGAAGAAATAAATTCTAGAGAGAGAGGTTTTATTACGTGAACTGAGATTGCTGGCCACTTTCTTACCTGGGGGCACTTGTTGATTTTGGGCACAGGCTTTCATAGACAGAGCAAGCAACTATACTAAAAGGATAAAACAGAACTTTTTATGGCCATGTGGGTCACCATGGACAGACTGGAATCTACAGGATCATCAAATGAATAGCCATTTTTCCCCATAGGATGTTTGCTGAGTGCTAGGGCAGTATAGTTGACTGGTAGGCCGAGCCTGAAAGACAGAGAGAAAACAGCTGCAGGCCAAGTCACACTAGAGGAAAGGACCTGCAAAACAAAACAAAATAAAATGTCTCCATTCCAAAACATTTGCCAGATTTTGAACCTGGATGAGGAGGGGAGCTAAATTGCTAAGCCCCAAACAGAACTTTTAGGGTGAAGAGGATAGAGACAGAAACCTACCAGTCTCTCAATCAAAACTACAGACAGGCCATGCCCAGAAAGGGGCTGGTCTATAATGGCAGAATAAAATCTCCTAAAGTCTCCTGGTACTTAGGAGACAAAGTTCCACTGGAGAGTGGAATCTGCAATGAATCAAGAAGGTCTGGCCCTCAGGATAGTTGAAATCACAGATGGATTGAGTCTAACTAAAGGTGTAAGCCAGCCCCAAACTAATACCATTCCTAGTTGGGTTGAGATGATCAACTCCTTACCTTGTCTGTTTAACAGACAAAACTTACAAACCCTCTCTAGGTGGAGAAAGAGCAACAACTTCAATTTCTACGGTACTTTTATATAAAAAATTAATCATCATACAATACAATATTATGTGATATGCAAAAATCCAGGGAAGATATAATCTTTCAAGAAAAAAAGTAGACAATAGAAACAAACCTATAGCATCCAGATGTTAAAGTTCACATACCTGGACTTTAAGTATTATAAATATTTTTAATAGAAAAAATACAGAAAAAGTAGATGAAAAGGTGAAACATTTAATTAGAGAATTAGAATCTTTAAAAAATAAACAAATGGACATTCTAGAAATAGAAAGTACACTATTTTAAATTAAGAGTTCATTGAATGTATTTGATATAAAACTGGAAAAAGAAAAGGACAATGTCTTAGTTTGTTTTGTGCTGCTATAGCAGAATACCTGAGACTGAGTAATTTCTAATGAAAAGGAATTCATTTCTCTTAGTTCTGGAGGCTACAAAGTCCAATATCAAGGTGCCAGCATCTGGTGAGGGCCTTTTTTTAAAAAATTTTTTTATTTTAGACAAGGGCCCTGTTGCCTGGGCTAGAGTACAATGGCATCATTATAATTCACTGCAACCTCAAACTCCCGGGTTCAAGAGATCCTCATGCTTCTGGCTTCCAAGTAACTAGGACTTTAGGCATAAACCACCATGCCTGGACAATTTTTAAATTTTCTGTAGAGATGGAGTCTTGCTATGTTGCCCAGGCTGGTCTCAAACTCCTAGCCTCATGTGATCCTCTCACCCCGGCTTCCTAAAGTGTGGGGATCACAGGTGTGAGCCACCATTCCCAGCCTCGAGGGCCTTTTTGCTTTGTCATCCCATGGTGTGGCAGAACACAGAAGAGCAAGAGAGCTCAAGAGAGGACAAGAGAGGGTCAAACTCACTTTTATAATAAACTCACTCCCACGATAATGACATTAATCCACTTTTGGGGGAAGAGCCTTCATGACCTAATCACCTCTTAAAGGTCCCACCTGTCAACACTGTTGCACCTGTCACATTGGGGATTAAGTTTTTAACACATGAACTTTGGGGAACACATTCAAATCATAGCAGACAAGATTAGTAAATCCAAAGACAAGTCAATAGAAATCCAAATGTAAGCACAATGAAAAAAAATGGAAAGAATAAAATAGAGTGCAAAAGGTGTGTGGGACATAGAGATATGATTTAACATTGATTGAAGTCCTATAAGAGGGAAGAGAGAATGAATCAGAAGCAATACATAATGAGATGTTTACTGAAATTTTACAAAATTGATGATAAATATAAATCCATAGGTCCAAGAATCTTAGTAAGCCCCAAGTAGCTTAAAAACAAAGAAAATTATTCCTATATAATTCTTAGAAAACAAAAATTAAAGACAAAATCTTAAAATCTGTCAAAGGGGGAAAAGACACATTATACTAAAAGAAGAAAATATAAGACTTAGGGCCAACTTTTCAACAGAAACTATGGAAATCAAAAGACAACATGTGGACATCTTCAAAGTATGGAAAGATATGGAAAAAAGAAACTCTGTCTCTAGAATTCTAACAATTTAAAATGAAGATTAAAAAGAAAAAAAAATTAGGCAAAAGCTAAGAGATTTTGTTTCTAGCAGACACATACTCTCAGAAAGTCTGAAGGCTGAAGTAAAATAATC